AAATAACAAGAATCTATTCTAATAAAATAGAAACATCTTTATGAAACGTATCTGACTTGAGCGTCAGAGTGTCTTTTACAAATCAACAGTCCATTGGAGTGGATTGCATTCTCGGAGTGTTGGAAGTTTCACATCGACTAAAGATAATGCCAAATTATAATATAAATGTAGGTGCAAACCTCACCCTACAAGCTGGTTTTGTGGGGTTGAGTTAGGCTTAAAGTCCACTTCTAACATGGTATCAGAGTCATGGTTAGAGCCTATCCTAGCGAGTTCTAAGCGGACCACCCAATTTCTACTATCACGCACGAGATGTCTATACCTCGGCGTGAAGGGGGTGTGTTGGAAGTCTCACATCGACTAGAGATAAGGCCAAATTATTATATATAAGTAGGTGCAAACCTCACCTTATAAAGTCGGTTTTGTAGGGTTTAATTAGGCTTAAAGTCTACTTCTAATACAGAGATGATTGAACGATCGAAAGAGACCAGAGCAAGGAATGACGACTGACCCCTCAGACAAATTCAACCAAAACATTTGGCACCCATTATGGGGTCGAGCGACATTCCCATGAAACTACGAGGAACCAGACGCGCGCTCGGTCTCGACATTTTCAATCTTTTACCGCTTGGTCGATTGGACCACCAATGTTGAACTTTTTCAGGTTCTAATAGCTTCTCATTATAAAAATAAAATATTGAATATTTATTTAACGCATGTTTTTGTGAGTAAAAATATCTTGCACACGAAGGTTCAATCCTTTACCGCTTGTCGATTAGACCACTAACGTTCAACCTTATGAGGTTCTAATAACTTCTCATTATAAAAGTAAAACATTGAATATTTTATTTAATGCATATTTTAGTCAGTAAAAATATCATGTACAAGAATGTTCAGTCCCTTACCGCTTGGTCAGGACCACCAACGTTCAACCTCTTCTCATTATAAAAATTAAATATTGAATATTTTATTTAACGCATATTTTTGTGAGTAAAAATATCCTGTACAGTGAGGTTCAGTCCCTTACCGCTTGGTCAGTTGGACCACCAATGTTCAACCTTATCAAGTTCTGATGACTTCTTATTATAAAAATAAAATATTGAATACTTTATTTAACACATATTTTTCGTAAGTGAAAATTTCTTGCATATGAACAAGTTCTAAAGAGAACTCCTAGCGTCTGCTACTCAACCTAGGAAAAAGTTTTAAAAAAAAAAAGAACTCATATCAGTCTACTACTCAACCTAGGAAAAAATTCCAAAGAGAACTCCTAGCGCCTACTGCTCAACCTAGAAAAAAGTTTAAAAGAGAACTCATAGAATTCGCCGCTCAGTGCAGAGAGAAATGAAGACTTAAAGTGCATACGAAATAGACTCCCTAAATACAACGTGACCGACATCTCTTAAGCTCATAATAATTCCTGCGCACCTCGCTCAATAAAAAACTTCCTTGGACTTAAAAGATTTATGTATTATATGAAATATACTGATAGGAGTTATTGGTCATTTATGACCAATCCTCGAATAAATTCAACCGAAACAAATGGTATATAATTACTTATCTCATACATATATAATTCTTTAACAAAAATATTTAAATCTTAAAGCAAAACTCGCAATGGTAAGAGATATATATGGTTTAACTGTTTTATCTTTTATTTAAAAGTTACATCTTTACTTCATATTTAATTAATATAAAATTTTGGTTGCTTTTCCATTTTTATTTACGTCGACATTCCTGTTCTTATTATTTTAAATATTGATTAAATAATTTTAGAAAAATAAAAAAATTATAATATATATATATATATATATATATATATATTCTTTTTGTAAGTTATGTGTTCGATACTTTACCATTTTCAAGTATATGTTGTTGTAATTGTAACTGGGACAGGTCGGCAAAAGAGGAAAAAAAAAACTGAGTCACCACTGATATTTATTAGGAAAACATTGAAAAAAATAGTCTATTACACAGGGAAGATCTTAGTAAGCTGCAAAGTTTGTCATAAAAATTGTTATCCATAATTAAATAAACATATTATTTATATTTTTTAAATATTTGTCTCACCCAACCGACATATAAAATATTAATTTGTAATTTAAACCAATATTAATACAGTGTCTTTCAATAAGTGAAGCAATTTTTTGAAATCTTTTACTAAATTGCCCATTAATTGTTTTTAATCAACTTTAAAATCATTATAAATTGTGTGAAATGAACCAAAATATAAACAAAGTTATCATTAGACATATTTTCATATACATGTACTTTTGCAAACTGATTCTAACATCATATACACCATGTATATAAAGAAGTCGTTCATGGTTGAATCAACAACCTTGTCAATTTGGTGTCTATGTTGTACAAGTTCTAAGAAAATCATCACATAGATATGCTTCACAATTTTACTGACATGCACTTTTCTTATATTTAAACAATTCACATAAAAACACTTAATTTTAATCCATCACACTTATTATCATCATCATTACATTGCATAAATTGAACAAATTATCACACTCTTTCCTCGTATTATTTATTATGTATGTTGAGTTAATCGATTTATATTGTTGTTTCATCACCATGCATGAACATCACATTTTTTTCAATCAAATATGTAATATTATTCCATTAATAAATATTCACTTTTGCATATTTTACTAAACCATAAATTTTAATCATCATTTATTATATTTTATAATATTTTGTAACATTTCACTTTATGACAAAAATAAAACAATAACATCAAGTCACTAGTGCAAAAATAACATTCTACATAAGTTATTTATCGATAATTACATTGATTTTAGATTCGATGTAAATTATACTTATGTAATAAGTCTTTTTCTTTTTACATCTATTGTTTCATAATCGATGTAATATATATGTCAGGTTAATAAACAAAATTATATTACAAAATTATATTACAAAATTACATCATATTAAAATCATAGTTTCATAAAATCCTTCATTGATTCATAGCATTGTCAAAATATCTTTGAAGTGTAAGGAAGAACGCTTGCTATAAACAAGTGAAGGTCATTCTTGGAGGTGTTAAATGTGAAAATGATGGAAAAAGACAAAATGAGAGAGAACAACACAAGAAAGAGAAGAGAAAACACTAAGAGTGAATCATAATGCGCCACAAATGGATAAAAAAAGATATATTGTTAGGATACAAACAAAAGTCACAAATTGGATAAAACAAGAAATGGAATGAGTTTATATATTCATAAGATACCTCTATTAGTAAAAAAAACCTTTTGGGATGATACCAAAAATAAATATGTGAGAATAATATTTATGTGTGTTATCCCTCCCTATAATTATTATCAAAAATACGTCCCTCCATGATAAGATGAAAACAATACTATTAACCAAGAAATTTCATAATATATATTATAGATTAAAGTATATGTAATAATAAACCATTAAAAAGTATTTAATATTTTCAAGTAGTGAATTGTTGATTCAAGATTTAATACAATAAACTATTATTAGTATTTTGTTATCTTGTTTTTATATAAAGTAAATCATACAGACAATTTCAATGGGAGATAAAACTTAAATTTTAAATTGAACCTTAAATGAAAAATCGAGGTTCACTAAATATATCACACAAATGGTACCAAATTTTGACAACATAATGCTTAAAATATATCTAAAATTTAAGCAATAAAAAAAAATCGACCCAGAAAGGGAAGAGGAGGAGCGAAAGCAAGAAATAGAGCAAAATATTATTTTGGTGTATTTTAATTTTAAATATTAGAAAATAATAAAAAGATGATTCTTGTCCTGCAGACTTATTTTTGAAAATCTGAGAAATAATAAAAAGGGCATTTACTAATTAAAAAAGAAAAAAGTGAAAGACACTACAGTGGGTAGCTGAGAGGTAATGAAGTTGAAAAGATTGTGTAGATTGAAAAGAAGGAAAAGTGCAGGGAGCAGAGGCCAAGGCATTTAAAAGAGAAAGAAATGGAATAAAAAGTGGGGCAATTAATTTTAGGCATCGAAGCATAAGAATTGCATATTTAAGGTGGGGAAGACCCTAAGTGCATCCTAAAGTGGTAGTGGTCCAACCCTATTACACTGCCTTTCAAACTTATCACAACTCAGTTTTTCTTGCTTCGCTTCTTTTACCCCTTCCACGTCTTTATCACTGCACATGCACAACTATGCTCTCTTCCCTTCTCATCTAACTTCAACAACCAAAACTTACCACCACCATCAACTTCCCAACTATTCGTACCCAGTTTTTTTCTTCATAATGCTTATCAACTTCTCATGTTTTTTTAATAAAACAAATCTCACGTGATGCTTCTTTTCATTTCATGGTGGGGCAGTGTTTGCAGAAGAACGAAAAACGTGGAGCATGTGGTTTCTCGTAACAGCAACTAGGATTGACCATCTCAATCCAACCATGCAATCCTCAATGCCTACTACCACACCCAACACAAAAATCTAGTCATCACAAAGTTGTCGCATGAAAAAAGAATTTTGAACAAAAGAAAACAAAAGGAGTTGTCGAGAGAGCCCCGACAGGTGAAAGAATTTTGAAGCAGAGGAAAAGTGGCGCTTGTTTATGAGGAGAGGACAAGGGAATGATAATAAAAGGTTGGGAAGCTGAATCAGGTAACGAAGAAGGCCTCTTGAGTGGTAGCTAAACAAAGTGGTCTTATATTCTCTCCAGTTTTTGTAGGCTGTGCCACCTATTATGCATTTAAACCCATCTTTCTTATTTAATGAGGTATGCAGAGAAATAATGATGATTGCATCTTCTCCATTATGGAACCCAATGACTGAGTGAACAACCCCTATGTCCTTTCAAATTCAAGAAAACTCTGCTATTTATGCTCTCTCAAGAGCTAATTTCCCTTTCATTGACAGCTTCTACCTGTCTGGTGCTGGGTAAGTCAGAGAATTAATGGGTCTTTAGATGCACTTCCAGGTGGTCTTCTGTGGAGAAGACATATCCCTATGCTCATTTAAGACATATTCCCAACCTTTGCTTTCTTTCACACCTTTTACACATACATAACCATCATCACATACCATCTCTCTCTCTGAATAACTCAACTGCTGGTGTTTTCAGGTGTCCATAAACGGACACTAGTTGTTATTTTTAATTTCCTATTTAAGAGATACACATATACCCTTTCTTTGCTTTACCATTCCCTTTCTCATCCATTCTCCATTCTCCTTCTTCCCACCCGCAGGATGGAGCCATTCGGTGGAGAGGAATGTCACAGCAGTGAATCTGGATGGACCATGTACATTGGGTCCCCTATGGATGATGGTGGACACAGCGACGATGCTGACAACGACCACCAACTCATTCAAACCGATCCACAGAATGCTGATGATGACGATCAAAGTGAAGATGATTCTATGGCTTCCGATGCGTCTTCTGGGCCAAGTCATCTTGGGATTAATCATGGTTTTCCGGATTTCCAGCGAAATGCTCAAGAGGAATGTGAAGCAGACAAGTGTTGCTTAGAGAAGAAGGCAAATAAAACCCAACTCAAGCAAATGGAAGGGAAAAAGGCGGAAAACAAAGGGATGTTATTCGTTGCTACCAAAGATAAGTCTCCAGTTCAGGGCCGTGCCAAGGTGAAAAGAAACTTTGTGGGGAAAAGGAAATAGACACATGTTTTCCTGCTCCACACCTTCTTAATTTGTTGCTTAGGTTTCCTTTTTAACTAAATAATTTATGGCTGCAATTACTGATTTGCATTAACTACAGCATGCAAGGATTTAAGGGTATCTGGTTATTATTTTCTAAAACATGTTGTTCAGCTGTGTACTAGCTAGTATGTTCCTGTTTTTATGCTATGAGGCATTTCATTTTTACACTTCTGATATTCCAAAAACAACACACTCCATCCAATTGCATCAGATTCCCCCGAGTTGCAGTGAATTCAATACTTATCCCATTTGGTTAGTTGATTTAGTCAAGAAAGGAGCTTGAAGGGAACAATCTTATGCTAGGAATCTTCTTTACTAAAGCTTTCCTAGAAAACAATGACGACAATCTTTGAACTTAGCACTGCTACTGTTACTCAACAATTGTGTAATTACGTACTGATCAAACAATACTTTTGCTTCATATATCAATATATAGACAACGTTGCATCGCACCAAATCCACCAGCAAACCTTAACTAACTTTGATCATGAACTATGCATAAATTGTGTCCCTCTGTCTCACATGTTGCGAAACATGATTTGTCATCAAATATAATTATGATAAAAGGTTTTGTTTGAATTATGAGGACTTGGTTAAAGGTACACAGTATTTATAGTTATATATTCTGACATATCGTTTATCTATGATATTTTATTGAGTTTGTATAAGAGAGTCTAATAATAGACTTTTGATAACTATAATTGACAATGTTGGTGGTATAAATATTATTATAGATTTCTATACCATACCACGTTTAGTTAGTATTATTTGTTTTATTTGGTATGAATTATAAATACTGTATATTAGTTGCAACTGGATTGTGAAGTTTTTTCATTTAGGAAAAATTTAAACAAGGAAAGATTAGGTATGTTCAAGGGAAATGTTCTTAGTAGTACGAATTTTTTTTACTATTGAATGTCGAGTAAGTCGCATTTAGGATTTTTTTTTTCTTCACAAAAAAATCGTATATATTAAAGATATTTTTAATTTTATTAATTTTTTGTTAATATGTCGAAGTTTTTATGATGAAAACAATTTAGTGTTTTAAATTGAAATTGTGCATTACAAAAATAATTTCAATTTTTTTCATTTTTAAACTTAAATCGTGTGTATGAGAAGCATGACTATGCTCTTTTTAAGAGTGAAGTTGTGCATAAATATAACTTTACTTTAAAAAAATAAAATATGCACAATTTCGATATATTATCATGAAATTAATGTCGTCTTTAACTTGTATGATTTTTGTGTGAAAGGAATTCAAAGCCACATCTTTGTCATATATATTTTTGTGTGATAGAATTGAAGCCACGTTATTGCAATTTTTTCTAAATCTATTCATTCTCTCTACAATTAAATATAAGAAAAACAAAACCCACGACGAAGTTGATAATAGTCCGTCGTCCTGTTTAAAAAAAAATGAGAAGCCTTGAATTTTTTTGTGTGTAGTTCGGTTTGTATAATTGTTAATTGGTGGACTTTTCAAAACTTTTTTTTAAAGTAGATATCTAATAAAATTATCAAATACCATTATATACATTATTGTTGCTAAAAAAATACTTTAATAATACATGCTAGATAACAAAAATTCACTAAAATATCGAAACAAGATCTTTAAATCATATATAAGATATAAGTTATATAGGTTTCCAGTATTTATCGTAACTGGATTATGCGTTATGCGGAATATGCTGAGATAGAAATATAATTGAATGGTAAAAAACTTATTATTTTGAAATATTTGTATCGGATATGCATATGATATTATCCTTTTAGACTTTTTTTTGGAAATTAAGTAAGAATGGTTGTATTTAATATTTCCAACATTTGCATAGATTAAAATTTCTTATTTTGATAAAATAAAGTTATACTCAATTGTTAGTTTGGCTTTTGATAGGTGTTTAAATTTTTTTAATTTTGTTGTCAATTTAGATGAAGTGTTTGATTGGATTATAAATGATGTAGGTGTGTTTTCTCTAAAAAAAATATTAAAAAATATTACTTTTATGGTATGGAATATGTAGATTCAGTCAATTTGGTTTGGTTGGATGTGGGCTACTAACTAAAATTTTGATTTTTTTGAAAGTTATTGAATAATTGTTTATCTTTTAATTTGGAGATTAAAAAAAGGGTGTAATTTTATGTTATTTGTGTGAGAATTTTCTTTCATGTTATGTTAGTGTTCTATATTGCTATGTAGTTGTAAAAATGGTTGAAGGGAGTTTTTTAAAATTTGTAATTTTTATCTTTGAATTTGGTTGTTGAATGTACAAAGTTTCTTTACAATTCTTTTATTAAAGTGATTATCATTATTACAATTATCTAAATAGTTTTGAGGATAAAAAATTGTAATAGATTTCATTTTTCAATTATTTTTACTTACGTTATTTAAAAAAAAAAGATAATGCATATAACTGTGAATAAATCTAATAAGTATATATATATATATATATATATATATATAATACTATCTTTGATTTTTTTTTAAGTTTTTATATATCAAACTAAAGAGAACGGGTGATTTTCATTTATTAATGTAATATGACAAGTTTTATTGTTAATTTACTTTAAGATTAATATATTACTTATGCAACTAGAGGTTATTCTTATTTAACTATTTACATTGGTATTTTAGAGAGAGCCAAATGAACATGAATGGTTTCTTTATGTCGTTTAATATTTTTACCTTTATATATTTATTTTTATATTATAGTGTAATTTATCTATTTTTATGAAGTGTGATTTTTAATCCACTTGATGTGATTTTCATGTTTTGCTTTTATTTTTTATTTTAATAAATTTTTATGTAATAATAAATAATTATGAAATTTGTGGTATTAACATAACTGAGATGCGTAAAATGAATTTTTTAAAATGCTTAGACAATGAGTTATGTGGAATATATTTGAACAAATTTTAATAATGAAAGTTTATTATTTTGAGAAATATTTAATACAAGAATGTTTGATAACTTTTTATAATTCTAAAAATTTATTTATCTTAAAATAATATATCATTTTACTTTTCTTACTTCAATTAAAGCAAATCATTATTAAAAAAAACATGGTATTACTTTTTACTAACTCATTTCTGATAAAAGAATTAAAAATTTAAGTAGTAGAAATCAGCATTTAAAAAAGTTATAAAATGAATATAAGATTTGTGTAGATGTGTGCGAAGGAGAAGGGATTCCTTTGTTGTATGAGAAAAGAGAGAAATGGTTGAGATGATGAATGATAGTAGTATGTTATGGTATGGTATGGAGTGCATGATGAGATGTGGATGAAGTGGTAGCTAGGTGCTACCTACTGGGTTCCACCATTAATATTTGCGACTGTGTCTCGCTAAAGAAGAAGTTAAACGCAAATCATCATCATGCTTTCAAGACAAAGTCGCTTTCCATTTGGATATGGAAAAAGCATATCCCCAAAGTAATATGCATTTAAGAGTGTTAGATTCCCAGAAACCAAAAGTTTCTTTACACTTTCCAACGTTAAAAATGAACTTGTACACTAACAAAAGTTTCACTTATTATGTAATACCAAAATATTTGTTAAAAAAATTTATTCCTTTAACTTTATGTTCCAAAAAAGAAAATTATAAGGTTTTCATTTACATCTAACACTTAAATTAATTTTATAATCTTCGGTATGACTCTATCATAAAAATGACATTTTTATTCATTATAATTATAGCAATATAGTTTAAAAGTATTTTTTCTTCCTCTTTTAATTGATTTAAGGGTTCCAAAACAAATTATGATAAGCTTGTAATTGAAGATATATTATTATTTCTAAAACATAACTAATTATGATGTATCTCAACCTCTTTAGAATTTATTTTTGTCTTTTAAAAAAAGTAGCAGATCCTATGTTTTTCTTTTCATCCTTTCCATCACAAAACCATTACTCTTTTTTTTCTTTTCATTAGCGTTAATTGATTGTGAGGAAAAAAATATATAGAATGGAAATGTACAACACAATCAGTTCAAAGAAAATAATTCTCTTGTTTAATAATAAAAATAAAAGTGTTATTCTCTGTTAAATATAACATATTTTATTTTATAGAAGTGAGTAAAACAAGTGGAAAATATATAAAAAAGATAGTATGTTTTTAAAAATATATCTTCCTCATTTCTCTTCTATATATAAGTATATACATAATTGTATTTTTTTTTGGAAAACGCAATTTATTTATTTTCACCAACACAAAAATTTTAACCTTTTTTTTCTATTATTTTTCCTCTTTAAAAATTTTCACTTATGAAAATATAATATTTGTTTTCTTCATCTCATTTTCATCGACTAAAACATTTCAAATATATATTTACTTGTTTAAATTTTAAAAAGATATTTGTGAGATATGATCTTGAGTCCATCTATGTTACAAATATATATGGAACTAATAAATTATTTTGATAATATAACAATCATATATAGGACACAAGTGTTATGTTATTAGATTGTTTTCATGTGATGAGAATATAATTAAATAATGTAAATTATTACGTCTTATTTTACTTTTTGTGGAGAATCATCATATTAACAAGGACTAAAAGAGTTATTTCGTGAAAGAAAAACCAAGCGAGATAGAAAGAGATAAAGTCTTTTTCGCAAAGTTTGTATTGATGTTTTTATTATTGTAAAGTCATTCATCTTTGGATCGGGTTGATTTTTGGACAGTAAATTTCAAACATATAATTCTTTGTTTTAATCGTCAATAGGAGGTTTAGTTTGAGAGAAAATAGTTATTATTACTATCTCTTTATTATGTTTTTTTGTTTTATTTGGTTGATACTCACATGGCAGGAAAAGATATTGAATTTTCCTTATGTTATTATTTTTTTAAAGTTATTATAATTTTTAACCCTTTTTTACATCACCAAGTGGAAGGAATCACCCTAAACCTAGAATGGAAATATCAACCACAACAACCATATTTCATATCAAACTCAATGTTGCGATGAGTAATATGTCTTATTATCCTCAACGACCAGGATAACAACTTGTTCCATTAGCGATTGCACGTGCTCAAAGTGAATCATCTTCGGATGAATTAGTAAAGCAAATGGCAACTCACTGCATCCAAATCCAGTGGAGAATAGGAGCCATAATTCAAAATTTGGAAAATTAGATTGGACAAAGGGCTACTAGTTTGAACCAATTGCAGTCTCGTGGCTTTAAGCTCCCAGCCCAGTCTTTCGTAAATTCCAAATATGTCAGTACCATTACTTTGAGATAAAGTAAAATCATTCAAGCACCTAATAATCCATAGTTTGATGAAGAAGAAAAAAAAAGAAGACTAACATAACATCAGACAACCTAAACAATAGGTTTAAGACAATATCAGACGATAGGATTACATTGTCTAATGGGTCAAATACAACTATAGGAGATACTGTCCAGCAAAAAGATAATTATAAACATGTGTCTCCTCGTGCAAGTGATGAGCAGCCATCGTCCATTCCTCTTCCTTTCCCACAGAGAATTGACCAGAAGAGTAAAATGGTGGAAGAGATGGATAAGGAGATCATGGATGCCTTTAGAAAGGTAGAAATTAATATACCTTTGTTAGAAACTATCAAGAAAATCCAAAAATATGCAATTTTTTTAAAGGATGTGATACAAAACATAAAAAATGTAGTAATTAGGTAGTCAATTTGGAGAGGAATGTTTATGTGTGCTCATAAAGAAACTTATGTAGTTATTATTGAAAAATGTAAGGATCAAGGTTCACCATTCACAGTAGTAAATTTGACATCTTAGGGTTAGAAATGTCTATATAAACGTTTCACAGTCAAAAGAAACACCATCACGTGTTAATAGACACTAATTTAATTTTTCATATATAATATTCTAGACTATAAAAATGAATAACAAATATAAATATTTTAAAATCTTACAAAAGAAAAGAACATATAATTAAGAGTGTAATAACATGACAAATACATTAGAAATCTAAAAAAACTTGTCGAAAATTATTTTAACAAATAAATTTTTTTACCACTAAAACTAAATTAAAAGAATAAAGAAATATATATATTTTTATTTTACCCAAAAATAAATAAAAAATTATGCAATTAAACAATAGAAAGAAAATAAAACATTATCGTATAAACTATAAATAATCAATAAAAATATTTTAAAAAATAAAAATAATTTAATGTGTTATATAGGAATATTTGATTTAATGAAATTAATAATAACATAATCATACAATCCAAACAATATATAATTAAGATTGTGATGAAAAAAAAATATTTTAAATTTTTGAATAAATTTTATAAATATATAAAAAATCAAACTATTAAGAAGTAAAAAAATTATAATAACAATATATGTATAACTTTTAAGTTACATGATAAATTAGGTATATTTTACAATTTAAACGAAAATAAAATAAATATTACGAGATAAATATATATTCATTTCGTCCCATATCAATGTATGAAATCAAAATAAAGACAAATAATACTTATGAAAATAAATTTATTTGCTATGTTTGTCCAAAATATTAAACTCGATAATTTAATTGAACGTTATAAATTTATAATTACTATCTATTAATAAATGAATTTTTATTTGGATGTAAACATTTTTATTATTTCAATCTCATTTTCTATATAACTATTTTTTAAAACGAAAGTAATTATTTTAGCATTTTTATACATTGAACGACAATTTATTTAAATTTAACTATTTTTAAATTAAATAAATTACTTTACTATTTTTTGTTTGAATAACTGTTTATTTAAGTTTAATTATTTTTTAATCTAAAATAATTCTCTTACATTTAAGAGTCTCTTTATTTAAATTTGATTATTTTTTTAAATCTAATTAATTATCGACGTTAAAAAAAGTGGACACATAGTTTTTGAATAAAAAGCATTCTGGTTTGAATGAAAAGAAAATGGACACGTAGTTAATATCTCCTATAAATTCAGATTATTTTGTAATTCTTTTAATAAAGTAAACTATAATATAAATAATAAAAAATTATTTCTTCTTCCCTTTTTTTGCCGTGAAATTTCTGGAATTTCCCGGCTTTCTTTTCCCTCCCAAGTTTTGCCTCAGGGAAGCGGCAAAGTGACGGAAATGTCACGGGCTCGTATTGCCGTCCACCGCTTCCGCTGTATCTACGCCGCATTATCGTCGATCACCTCATCTTCATCTGCAGTTACACGCTTTCAGTTCCAATGTCCACAACAACATCTCACGCGCGCATCCCTCCCCTTCCACTTCCACTATCGTTATTCTTCGTCTGTCCCCGAACAAACCTTGAACTGTGGTGTCGAGAATTATCCGAGTGGAGACTTTGATTTCAAGCCTCTCACTGGCTGGAAAAAATTCATCGTCAAGCTCAAGATGCTAACGGCCTTACCCTGGCACCGGCTCCGATACGGCACCGTTTTGACAATCAAGTTGCGCGGCCAGGTTTCACCCTCTCAACCTCGCTTTTCGCTTAGCTCACAGTATTGTTATGTTAATAACTGTTTTAACTATTTCGCGTGGTTCTTCACTTTAGGTATCGGATCAGCGGAAGAGTAGGTTCTCTCGGGGATTATCTCTGCCTCAAATCTGTGATAATTTCTTGAAGGCAGCTTATGATCCTCGAATTTCCGGTATCTATCTCCACATTGATATTTTAAATTGCGGCTGGGCAAAGGTTGAAGAAATTCGAAGGCACATATTCGATTTCAGAAAGTCAGGTGTGTGAAATTACTGTTATGGTGGAAAAAAAATGTAGTAACACGTATAATTTACGTATAACTATTTTTGTAGTGCTACGTTCTGTTTTACAATAATTTTATCTGCCAGGGTCAAGTGAATAAGTTATGGTGATATACTGATTGGCAGTCTGTGTGGTTTTAATCACGTATCCTCTAGAGGATATTCAAAAGAATTATTTACTTGTTTAATGTTTTTTTTTCCAGTATGTTGTTAAAGTGCAAACTGGTTAGCATTTGTCTGTTGCCTGGATCAGTGTGTTTTCTCTTCTACGATAGAAAACTGATGCTTGTGGTTTTCTGAGGCAATAATGCAACTGAAGTTTGTGCACCTCGAGTGAGGATGCATGAGAGTATTAAGTTTAATTAATTGCTTATTCGATTAACCTTTATCATGTGAGGGCTTTGTTGTGTGTTTGTTAAACTAGCTGAAGCGTATAAGCTGTGAATAAGTATTTGGTAAAATGAACTAACAAGCTAGCCAATTGAATTGAAAGTGTAAATTAAAAAATGTCATAAAAGGACATATTTAGTTATTTAAGGTAAAGAGATATTCCAAATAAACTATCGTGAATAAAAATGAAAAATGTAAAAAAAAAGTTAGTAGCTTATAAGCTAGCTTATTTTCATAAGCTGCATGAAGTAGCTTGTGTAAGCTAGAAATTACTAAATAAACTCTTGTAACAAACAAACTTTGGATCAAAATAGCTTATAATCTAGTCAAAGCTGCTTATAAGCTAGTTAAAGCAATTTATAAGCTATTCGAGTGACTTACCATCTATTATAATTTTTANAATTAATTTTATAATCTTCGGTATGACTCTATCATAAAAATGACATTTTTATTCATTATAATTATAGCAATATAGTTTAAAAGTATTTTTTCTTCCTCTTTTAATTGATTTAAGGGTTCCAAAACAAATTATGATAAGCTTGTAATTGAAGATATATTATTATTTCTAAAACATAACTAATTATGATGTATCTCAACCTCTTTAGAATTTATTTTTGTCTTTTAAAAAAAGTAGCAGATCCTATGTTTTTCTTTTCATCCTTTCCATCACAAAACCATTACTCTTTTTTTTCTTTTCATTAGCGTTAATTGATTGTGAGGAAAAAAATATATAGAATGGAAATGTACAACACAATCAGTTCAAAGAAAATAATTCTCTTGTTTAATAATAAAAATAAAAGTGTTATTCTCTGTTAAATATAACATATTTTATTTTATAGAAGTGAGTAAAACAAGTGGAAAATATATAAAAAAGATAGTATGTTTTTAAAAATATATCTTCCTCATTTCTCTTCTATATATAAGTATATACATAATTGTATTTTTTTTTGGAAAACGCAATTTATTTATTTTCACCAACACAAAAATTTTAACCTTTTTTTTCTATTATTTTTCCTCTTTAAAAATTTTCACTTATGAAAATATAATATTTGTTTTCTTCATCTCATTTTCATCGACTAAAACATTTCAAATATATATTTACTTGTTTAAATTTTAAAAAGATATTTGTGAGATATGATCTTGAGTCCATCTATGTTACAAATATATATGGAACTAATAAATTATTTTGATAATATAACAATCATATATAGGACACAAGTGTTATGTTATTAGATTGTTTTCATGTGATGAGAATATAATTAAATAATGTAAATTATTACGTCTTATTTTACTTTTTGTGGAGAATCATCATATTAACAAGGACTAAAAGAGTTATTTCGTGAAAGAAAAACCAAGCGAGATAGAAAGAGATAAAGTCTTTTTCGCAAAGTTTGTATTGATGTTTTTATTATTGTAAAGTCATTCATCTTTGGATCGGGTTGATTTTTGGACAGTAAATTTCAAACATATAATTCTTTGTTTTAATCGTCAATAGGAGGTTTAGTTTGAGAGAAAATAGTTATTATTACTATCTCTTTATTATGTTTTTTTGTTTTATTTGGTTGATACTCACATGGCAGGAAAAGATATTGAATTTTCCTTATGTTATTATTTTTTTAAAGTTATTATAATTTTTAACCCTTTTTTACATCACCAAGTGGAAGGAATCACCCTAAACCTAGAATGGAAATATCAACCACAACAACCATATTTCATATCAAACTCAATGTTGCGATGAGTAATATGTCTTATTATCCTCAACGACCAGGATAACAACTTGTTCCATTAGCGATTGCACGTGCTCAAAGTGAATCATCTTCGGATGAATTAGTAAAGCAAATGGCAACTCACTGCATCCAAATCCAGTGGAGAATAGGAGCCATAATTCAAAATTTGGAAAATTAGATTGGACAAAGGGCTACTAGTTTGAACCAATTGCAGTCTCGTGGCTTTAAGCTCCCAGCCCAGTCTTTCGTAAATTCCAAATATGTCAGTACCATTACTTTGAGATAAAGTAAAATCATTCAAGCACCTAATAATCCATAGTTTGATGAAGAAGAAAAAAAAAGAAGACTAACATAACATCAGACAACCTAAACAATAGGTTTAAGACAATATCAGACGATAGGATTACATTGTCTAATGGGTCAAATACAACTATAGGAGATACTGTCCAGCAAAAAGATAATTATAAACATGTGTCTCCTCGTGCAAGTGATGAGCAGCCATCGTCCATTCCTCTTCCTTTCCCACAGAGAATTGACCAGAAGAGTAAAATGGTGGAAGAGATGGATAAGGAGATCATGGATGCCTTTAGAAAGGTAGAAATTAATATACCTTTGTTAGAAACTATCAAGAAAATCCAAAAATATGCAATTTTTTTAAAGGATGTGATACAAAACATAAAAAATGTAGTAATTAGGTAGTCAATTTGGAGAGGAATGTTTATGTGTGCTCATAAAGAAACTTATGTAGTTATTATTGAAAAATGTAAGGATCAAGGTTCACCATTCACAGTAGTAAATTTGACATCTTAGGGTTAGAAATGTCTATATAAACGTTTCACAGTCAAAAGAAACACCATCACGTGTTAATAGACACTAATTTAATTTTTCATATATAATATTCTAGACTATAAAAATGAATAACAAATATAAATATTTTAAAATCTTACAAAAGAAAAGAACATATAATTAAGAGTGTAATAACATGACAAATACATTAGAAATCTAAAAAAACTTGTCGAAAATTATTTTAACAAATAAATTTTTTTACCACTAAAACTAAATTAAAAGAATAAAGAAATATATATATTTTTATTTTACCCAAAAATAAATAAAAAATTATGCAATTAAACAATAGAAAGAAAATAAAACATTATCGTATAAACTATAAATAATCAATAAAAATATTTTAAAAAATAAAAATAATTTAATGTGTTATATAGGAATATTTGATTTAATGAAATTAATAATAACATAATCATACAATCCAAACAATATATAATTAAGATTGTGATGAAAAAAAAATATTTTAAATTTTTGAATAAATTTTATAAATATATAAAAAATCAAACTATTAAGAAGTAAAAAAATTATAATAACAATATATGTATAACTTTTAAGTTACATGATAAATTAGGTATATTTTACAATTTAAACGAAAATAAAATAAATATTACGAGATAAATATATATTCATTTCGTCCCATATCAATGTATGAAATCAAAATAAAGACAAATAATACTTATGAAAATAAATTTATTTGCTATGTTTGTCCAAAATATTAAACTCGATAATTTAATTGAACGTTATAAATTTATAATTACTATCTATTAATAAATGAATTTTTATTTGGATGTAAACATTTTTATTATTTCAATCTCATTTTCTATATAACTATTTTTTAAAACGAAAGTAATTATTTTAGCATTTTTATACATTGAACGACAATTTATTTAAATTTAACTATTTTTAAATTAAATAAATTACTTTACTATTTTTTGTTTGAATAACTGTTTATTTAAGTTTAATTATTTTTTAATCTAAAATAATTCTCTTACATTTAAGAGTCTCTTTATTTAAATTTGATTATTTTTTTAAATCTAATTAATTATCGACGTTAAAAAAAGTGGACACATAGTTTTTGAATAAAAAGCATTCTGGTTTGAATGAAAAGAAAATGGACACGTAGTTAATATCTCCTATAAATTCAGATTATTTTGTAATTCTTTTAATAAAGTAAACTATAATATAAATAATAAAAAATTATTTCTTCTTCCCTTTTTTTGCCGTGAAATTTCTGGAATTTCCCGGCTTTCTTTTCCCTCCCAAGTTTTGCCTCAGGGAAGCGGCAAAGTGACGGAAATGTCACGGGCTCGTATTGCCGTCCACCGCTTCCGCTGTATCTACGCCGCATTATCGTCGATCACCTCATCTTCATCTGCAGTTACACGCTTTCAGTTCCAATGTCCACAACAACATCTCACGCGCGCATCCCTCCCCTTCCACTTCCACTATCGTTATTCTTCGTCTGTCCCCGAACAAACCTTGAACTGTGGTGTCGAGAATTATCCGAGTGGAGACTTTGATTTCAAGCCTCTCACTGGCTGGAAAAAATTCATCGTCAAGCTCAAGATGCTAACGGCCTTACCCTGGCACCGGCTCCGATACGGCACCGTTTTGACAATCAAGTTGCGCGGCCAGGTTTCACCCTCTCAACCTCGCTTTTCGCTTAGCTCACAGTATTGTTATGTTAATAACTGTTTTAACTATTTCGCGTGGTTCTTCACTTTAGGTATCGGATCAGCGGAAGAGTAGGTTCTCTCGGGGATTATCTCTGCCTCAAATCTGTGATAATTTCTTGAAGGCAGCTTATGATCCTCGAATTTCCGGTATCTATCTCCACATTGATATTTTAAATTGCGGCTGGGCAAAGGTTGAAGAAATTCGAAGGCACATATTCGATTTCAGAAAGTCAGGTGTGTGAAATTACTGTTATGGTGGAAAAAAAATGTAGTAACACGTATAATTTACGTATAACTATTTTTGTAGTGCTACGTTCTGTTTTACAATAATTTTATCTGCCAGGGTCAAGTGAATAAGTTATGGTGATATACTGATTGGCAGTCTGTGTGGTTTTAATCACGTATCCTCTAGAGGATATTCAAAAGAATTATTTACTTGTTTAATGTTTTTTTTTCCAGTATGTTGTTAAAGTGCAAACTGGTTAGCATTTGTCTGTTGCCTGGATCAGTGTGTTTTCTCTTCTACGATAGAAAACTGATGCTTGTGGTTTTCTGAGGCAATAATGCAACTGAAGTTTGTGCACCTCGAGTGAGGATGCATGAGAGTATTAAGTTTAATTAATTGCTTATTCGATTAACCTTTATCATGTGAGGGCTTTGTTGTGTGTTTGTTAAACTAGCTGAAGCGTATAAGCTGTGAATAAGTATTTGGTAAAATGA